GCCGCTTGTCACATATGCGCAATTACACACAGGCATGCGGGCAGATGTATTCAAGCACACAACCCTATGCACTGGGCGACCTTTTTGTTTCGCAGCATGCCGTACGTATGTGCTAATCAGAACGTGGATAACTCAGCGGAGAGATTCATCATCACAGGCTCATATGGGAAGTGTAGGAGGTGGGTGGTGCTCCTGTGTGTGAACATGGCATGAAGTATGTGTAGGAACATGTATAGGTGTGAGTATTTTTCCCTCTCGTATGTTCCCTCCCACCCACACAACCGTAGAGTGAGGCGTTAGTCCACTCATCTATGTAAACATGATGCGTACACCGCCAGTGCTTCTGATTCTTGAAATAGCCTTCGCAGCACAAACATCTCCAGGCGAATGCTGGCGCTCCACCGAGCTCCCATTGTATTCAGTCACTCAGAGCATTCATCCTGACTCGGTTAATAAAGGCATATGTGGCCTAGAGACACATCGGTGCTTCAAAGCAATGGAATGGAGATTTTCTCGGCGCATGATTACCTGAGCCCAGAATTTTTAAATTGTCTGATTAGAAAATATAACTGCACTTGCTGAAGAGAAGTCCCCTCTCTAAATATAGCTAGAAGGGCTAGGGGCAGTGAGGATAGTGTTGTTACCATTGCAGCGCCAGAGCAATATGGCTGAGGCTCTATATTGAGAACATGCAATCTGTCATGTCTCAGTGTATCTCTTTATCCAGTGTTTGACATCTTAGCTCGCTTTTGCCCTCTATGGGCTGCTCCCTGCTGTTTGGCTGTCAGCTGTCCTGATGATTTTATTGTTCCCAGCCAGCTTTTACTACCGCCACCTTGTGGAGGAAACTTCAGAGCGCCAGCCCCCTCACCCCACGTCATTTCCCCCGCCCCCTCCCTCCCTCACTCACTTGTTCACTCACTCTCCCTTTCTCTCTTCCTCTTTGAGTTAGACAGGCAAGCCTTTCTCTGGGAGAAACAGCGTGGTGAATTCCCTATAGCGAACCTCCTCTCTTTCTGAAATGAATCCAGTCTTCCCCCCTTTACTGCTCTCGGTAAATAGCTAGAATATTATTACCACTCCATTTTCTCTTTGTGCTTTATTCATGCATTTCATGTGTTTGTCGGCGTGAATAGCTCTATTTGATGAGCACACAGAATAGGTGTTTTGGCCTGAGAATGGACACAACTGATGTGCTTCTGCCTGGTAATCCGGATTAACAGACATTAAAAGCACCCATCTCCATTTCCCAAGAGGGAGGGGGGTGGCGATTGGCAGCATTGAGGAACCGGCGGGAGGGGGGCAGGGGATTGAAAGGGGGTGGCATTTGTTCACAGCTGCAGCCTAGCGCCTTGGATAATCTCCCCCCGGATCAGCAGATCCGCCGCCTGGCTGGTCAGCAGCCCTTTGACAACCTGACAGACAGTCACTGCATCGATCATTGCATTGCTTTCCAATCACTTCCAACAGAAGTGCACCCATAATACTCATCCTCAGTGATATTTGCATACACGCACACTTGCCTGTGCTGGTGACGCCAGGCCCAGGTGCACCCATTAGCACTCTGTAGCAGGAGCGTGTAAGCATGCCCCATTGAGCACTTTATCCCGCTGAGTGAACACAGCAGACGCAGCATCCCTGCCTGCTCTTGGGTTTTTTAATTTGCATTGATCATCCACACGTTCCCGCCGAAGTGTGTGACAACATTGTTTTTAACGGAGGCAGGATGCTGTTTGACCACACGTCTGTGTTTTGTGCCTTTTTTGTTCTGTTTATACACAAGGAATATGACACTGCTTTTGTATGAGCGCTGCCATTTGGGTGCAAGTGTGCATGAACGCGTGAGTGCCAACGTAATTATTTATGCAGGTGTAAGGTACATGTTGCACACATGCCTAAGTGTGTGTGACAGACTGACAGGGTTGAGTAGAGTTCTCACCAGCCTTGGGTTTCCTAGGAGCCCGGTGGCTGTGTAAGTCCCTTAACCCCGGTGCCTGAGGCCACAGCATCTCCAGCCCTCTGACAGAATAACAATCTGCCCGCCAGCCCCCTCCAGAACCCCCCGACTCCTCCCAGACCTCAAGTACATAGGCCAGGCTTATTGCTCAGCCCACACCTGATCTACCACTTCTCACTTTTTATGCGATCTGTCATTCTCTGCTCTCTGTCTCTCTCCCAATCATGCTCCAGGCACCATCTGGACTTTCAATAGGTCTCATTAATGCCAGTATTGTCCAGAATGGCTCTCTCTCAGGGTATCTGGTCATTAATGACACTTAGTGAAAAACACATCACATACCGCAGAACAATGAAACTGCTATTTTGGCCAGAGGGTTTGAATTTGAAACAGAGTCATGATATGAGTTGCATATTCCCCTAAGGCTGAATGGCAGGCAGATATTATAACAGACAGAAGTATATTGGAGCTGGGGATTATTTTCAGGAGTGTTGGTCACAGGCTGGCTAGAGAATTAATTCGGAACACTTTCTGCAAGGGAAACAGAGAGATTGTGCGTTTTGTACATCGTTATTCCGACTGAAGTTCTCCAATGTGTGTATTGCAGTGCCAATGCAGTGAGCAGTCGTGATGGCCTGGACACAGAGACGGGTACAGAGTCTCTCCTGAGCCACCGCAGAGAGCGAGAGAGGGAGCGTGCACGGAGGAGAGCTCGAGAAACTGAGCGTGAGTATCAGCCAGGAACAGATGGATCCTAAAAATGCAATTATCTTGTCATTTCCAAGTTATTACATTTCAGTACCTCTTCATTTAACTTTCATACTCTGCACCACAAAAAAAAAAAAAGTGGACAGACACGAGACATGTATGAAAAAAAAAAGGCCCCCGGGGGGGGATCAAGCGGTGCATGTTGAACTCCAGTTATGTCAAACTGAGAAACACAGGCACATCCAAATTCTCAGAATGAAGAAAGTCAGAAGTGAATAAGTTCATTGTGTGTCAAAGTTTCTGGAATTCACTGTCTTGCCCAATAATTGTCTTTCCTTTGCTTCCCGTGTGCAGCTCAGGTTTATGGTCAAAGGGTGTTTTCCACTTGGTCGTCACACTCCATTCTAGTAGGATGATTATAGCCTGTCACAGGACACTAGTGTTTTGTGAAATATCAGGGGAAAGTCTGTTGCGGCTATTGTTGAAATATAAACGCAGCCATGTAGAATGTGTCTGGAAAAGAAATTGTCACGATCTCGATTTTAAAAGCCTTTTGAGAACTGTTATCAAGTGAAAGCACATTTGTTTTGTCGTGTTGACATTGGAGCATGGCAATTTCTTTAAAAATCTGAGACGGACACGACTTGGGCCTGCTCCTTTAGAACAACTGCTCTCTTTTTCATTCTTAGTGTTTTTAATACGGGAAGCTGCATCACATGTCTGTTCTGGCCACAGGGTATGTTGTTGGTTTTGTGTTGTTTGGAAAAAGTGTGTGTTTGCTATCAGCATAATCATCTGCGATATTTTGAGATACCTGCTTTTATTCTATTTCTCTCCCACACAGAGATTTTGAGAAAATTAACTGGTTATACGGCAGGAAGTAATAAAGCAGCAGCTTCTAATGGTTGCATTGTCTTTAGTCAAAGAAAAACCAATTCTCTCTCTCTCTCTCTCTCTCTCTCTCTCTCTATCTCTCTGGCTCTCTCTCTCTCTCT